ACTGTGAGACTGTTGCTGCTCACCGCGCTGTTTGCAAATGCCCAAGGGTAAGTTCTTCGATAGTACCTACCTACCACTGCTACCACCATAATAATGACATAGTATTCTTCATACGTGCCATTAAAACTTTCTTAACCTGCTCTATTTTTCTATTTTAGGGCTACTTCGGCGACCCTTACAAAATCTGCACCCCCGAGTGCTCATCCGACGGCGAGTGTCCCAGCTACAAGCCTGCCTGCGTCTACAACGCGTGCATCAACCCTTGCACCAACGCCTGCGGTGTCAACGCCGACTGCAACCTGAGGGGACTCACTCCCGTGTGCTCTTGCCCTAAGACCATGACTGGGGATCCATTCACCTTCTGCAGGCCTTTTGAAGCCCGTAAGCTATAATATTTTGATAGTAATCCATGTATGCATGGGCAGCAGCGCTCTCTGACAAACATCAATCTTTTAAACTGCGATCTCCAACCCGCCTGCCAAGCGTGGGGATTATGGCAAAACCCTCCACTATAGTGGAGGAGGCTCATAGTCCAGTAGTGGACTGTAAAGGGCTGTTGATGATGATGATGATGAATCCATGTAACATTTCTTGTTGATATTACATAGTAGGTACGTTTAACTACTGTATATGCATTTTATCACAGGTGATCTCTGTGAGCCCAACCCTTGTGGAACTAACGCCAAATGCACACCTGGCCACGACCGTACTGGTGCTGAGCGACCGGTCTGCACTTGCCCATCGGGATACATTGGAAACGCTCTTGTAGCTTGCGATAAGGTATGCCAATGTATTTCGTACCTTATTCACTATGACATGTGATCTAGACAGATATTTGAACATCCGAAGATTATTTTGTTGTATTCTAACTACTTGTATTTGTTCATCAGGGTGAATGTGAACTGGACTCACAGTGCCCCGACCACTTGGCTTGCGTCGGCTACCAGTGCGTAGACCCATGCCTCGGCAACTCTCAATGCGGCTCGGGCGCTGTCTGCATGGCTAGACGGCATCTGGCAGTCTGCACTTGCCCTTCAGGTACATGATATTTCACAGTTACAGAGTATAGTTTAAAACAAATATCAACAAGGTCAATGGATTCCTAAGTTGACTGATGTTACCTCTAGGTCTTCCAAATTTTTTGGGGAAATTGCAGCTGCCCCAAAAGGTTTGAGAACTTATGACTCTTATGCGCAGAATATCCTAAAACAATCTTATTATTACAGGCCGCAACGGTGACGCCCTCGTGAACTGTTACGAGTCTCGCTCGGAGGCTGCGTCTACCCGCTACTACCGTTTCAAGAGGAACGGCAACTTCACTGAGCCGGAGCCCGAGACCGCTGCCTCGGAGGTGACTGAGACCGTCGTCGAAGAAAAAACCGAGGAAAAGAAAGAATAAACCCTGTGATAAGATAATCGAAGATACTCACGAACTGTCCAATCGATAAAGTGCCAAATGCGATAATTTTAAAATGTATAACTTTCAAACCCGCATTTGGACTCAGTAAACAAGTTGTATTGTTAATACGAGTAAATAAGCTTGCATGTAACTAAGTAACAATTGAAAAATACGTTTTTGTAAAATAATAAACTAAGCTGAGGTTACTTTAATATGTGAAGCCTTAAGTTAAGGCAGTAATAAGTAGGTGTAACTACTTTGTATAAAGTTGTGACTTAATAAAAAACGATTAAGCTTTATTTTGTTTATTATCATTTTTCTTTTATGTTATATTGCAATAATCTAAGTCGAAATAATTAAGCATATACCCTTTTTATTCGCCTATCTGAGTAGGTTTAGTTCTCAAACTTATCAATGACCGACTCTTATTTTGTAAAAATCAGATTTTCGAGTTGAGCTCTCTCGCGCACGTCTCGGTCAGCAGCGGTTGCCTATATTTGGGAATCGCTGATCATTAAAATATGAATTATGGCGCTATTCGGAATGATTTTTTATGTTGGTAAATACCTTTATAACTTATGTGAATTTATGACGATAATAATTACTTTAGCCAGCTTACAATATTATAGAAATTTTTAATAAGTAGTTAGTTGAAAAGGAGGTGATTCTCTCGGTAAGCTCGCCCTCAATCAAAAGGTTTAAATTAAATCCTTCGAAAGTGTGGATTAATTAATTAAGTAGGAAACCTTATCTACCTACGCCTAGTATGATGATGGGATAACTCAGCACTTTACACAGTCTAAATGTGTGTATGGTATTAATAGTTGTGATAATATGATGATAGATTGTGATGTTACAAGGAATTTGGCCATAAGGCGTCTCCACTATTAAAATCGATGTAAGCATCAAAAAGCATCAAATCATACAAAAAAATATACATAAAATAAATACAGAGAAATAACTGAGCTATTAAATGCAATTAAATGTAATTAATTTTACTGTATTGTTGAATAATCTGTAGAAAAAATATTTTTTGTGGATGAACTGAACGAAACGTTTCTTACCTAAAAACGTGCAAACTTTGGTGCAAACGAAACGTTGAAATGTTAATTTGACATTTGAGTTTGATGGGTTGATACGTCCTGTCGTTCGATTATCGAATGATGAGAGAGCTAAGGTTTTTTACTATTAATTACCCGTTAAAACTGTAAATATTTATGCGAAACAATGTCCGACGTTAACATGGAGAAGTTTGCTATGCCAGACTTTGTTCCTGACCGTTACGTGAAGGAATTAGCGAGGTCTTGTGTCGGGGGGGAGGAGCTGCAGCAACAGAAGGAGAACATACAAACTCTTTCCGAAGAAACTGCCAGTGCCCTCAAGAAAAATGTCTACGAGAACCACATGCAGTTCATCGAGACGGCCACGGAAATATCCCACCTGGAGACTGAAATGTACAAGCTGTCTCATCTCCTGAGCGAACAACGAACGGTGCTTACAACCCTGTCTCACGCGTCAATTTTAGGTAACGAAAACGCCCTGTCTCGCGAGTCTCTCGACAACCACGACGTCGAAGCCGAGAGGGCCGAGGAACAGCGCAAAAACAAGCTCAATTTGATTACAGAAAAAGTTGAAGGCTGTATGAATTTATTAGATGTTCCAGACAGAACTTTATTACACGACGGTGATTTATTAGAAATAGATGCGGAGGAGAACACTGCCTTACAAAGAATGCATGTATATTTATTCAATGACTGCCTTATGTTAACCTCGTGGATATCTAACCGTCGGGGTCCAATGAGATATAAATTCCAAATTAGTTATCCTATCAGTACTCTAGCCGTAGTGAATGTTCGTGATTTAGGAACTGTGAAGCAGGCTTTTAAAGTCCTAGCTTTTCCAGACACTAGAGTATTTCAGTGCAATAGTATTGCAGTCAAGAAAGATTGGTTGGATAAGTTTGATGTGGCCAAAAAAATGTATATTGAGAAAGAAAATTCAAAACAAAAGAAAAAGGAAGGCCAAGAGAAGCCCAGGCTTGAGTCATTGGAGTCTCCTAGTCTGTCAGTAGAGGAGCTGCCTTCACCGCAGATAACACCACTGCCAGAGTGGCTAGCAGATGTGACTGAAGAGCTAGATGTTCTGATTGTTGAAAGACACTTCCAGAAAACTTATGAACTGATGGTTTCAGCTCAGAAAGCATTTAATACAGAAGAATTCAAGACCCACCCGCAGAAAGCAGAGATAATGAAAAGAATTGATCAAAAGCAAAAGGTTCTGATAGAGATATTGCTAAAGGAACTTGACGTTACTCACAACTGGAGTCCAAGAGGAGGTCTACAGTCATCCAGACAGCCAGTCATGATACTCAACAAGTTCAACATGACTAGTCAAGCATGTGAACTGTTTCTAGCTGTCTGTAGTCACACAGTCAAAGTACATGTAAAAGGAGTCCAATTAGAAGGCTCCATCAATACTTATGTTAAGCAAGTGGGTGAAGTGTTCTTTTGCTCACTTAGTGATGCCTTAACAGAGTTTATTACTTTATTCCCTAAGAATAAAGTGAGCGCTTTCATAGTCTGGGCTAGCATGCAGCTTAGGATTTTAATGAGTCAAATAATTAAGCAAGTTTTTACGCCGCAGTGTGCTCTGGATTCAGTGCTGGAGTGTGTTGAGAGTCTTCGGGAACAGTGCACACTATTCTGTGAATTTGGGCTCGACCTGAGATTCCAAATGAATAGTTGTTTAAGAACTCCTATAATAAAAGCGTTAAAGGAATACAAAGAGAAGATTGTTGATTCTATGAAATCAAAGGTGTCTGAGGATAAATGGACCCCTGTCAATATGCATACTAAACCTGGTGTGAATAAATTCTTATCTCAGATGGAGAACTTGGGCCTTATATTAGCTAAGTTTATAATAAATGAAACATGGGTAGACTTGTCCAGTAGTACCATTTGGTTTGCGCAGTCTGTAATAACAGTTCAGAAGGTGGGCTTGAATCTTGTCACAAAAGATATGATGGATGTATTGGACGAGTGCATCCATGCTATTTTCAACTCGCGCCTTAAGCTCTCTTTAGGGAATGATTCAAGTTATGCACAGAAAAATTTCCAATTCATTTTAGATACTGTAATGCCTCTCATGTTGAGGCTATATAAAGAAGAAGTTGGTTATGATAATGAGAAGCTAGTGACTCTAGCAAAAAAATTCGGTGTGACTGTCGCACCTCCAAAGAAATCCAACATCACTAAATACACAAGTAATGAATATTTATGAGACTAGCGATACATGTTGTATGTTGGTGTACGAAATTATTTTTATTATGCTGAAGCTTTAAAATTGTAATATATAGATAGTAAGCATGCAGGATTTTTGTAAGTTTATTTAAAACTGATCAAATTAAAATTTTTATTATATGCAAGTTATCAATATGAAATTTTAATAAACCAAAATTTATGGTTCATTGTGTATTTTCTTATTACTGAATAACAACTGAAACAACTGTTTAGTGTATAAATGAAAAGCGTTTAATAAAATATAAAAAATATTATTTAATATAATATAAAAAGTTTTAATTATAATCTTATTCTTTGGTAACCTAATTAGAGACAATAATACATTACTTACAACTAAATTGCGATAATAATACAATAACACAGGAATGGCATATATGCTGAGATACAAAAAGCAATAACATTATTCTTCCATCAGAGTTTCTATGAAAGTAGTTCCGTTTATGAGTTTAGTGGTCAATATGACGAATTCTACGCAAGAATCTTCTTGCTGACTGATGGTTCTCAAGGCCGATATCTCTTGATAAGTGCAGCCTCCTATGAAGAAGACCAGTATCACCCGTGGGTTTTCCAAAGACGAGTTCTCGCTTGAGATTGAGTTCCGTCTCACCATTCGCGGTTGAAGCGTCTGGAGTTCGTCCACTGTCGCACCGGGAAGCGAACCAAGTACGTCTTGAATACCTGTGGAATTTAAATAAGTATTAACGATTAGAAATAAATGCTACTAACAATCGATCAGCATTCGAATGCCATTCATAGTCTAGTTAAAATAAAACTAGTTTTAATACTAATAGCTATGCCCGCGACTTCGTACGCGTGAAATAGTTTGAACATTTTTTCCTCTTTTCCCAATAATTAGGGGCCGTTCAAGTATTACGTAAGCAGATTTCTTACCATTTTTTACCCCCCCGCCCCCCTTGTCATCAAAAGTAAGCAAAGCACTTACCCCCTCCCCCTATGCTTACGTAAACATTTTTAGTTATAAATGTTTTTTATATTGTCATTTTTAAAATAGGAAAATTCATGAAAATATTAGGTTTAACTGATACACATAGAATAAGGGACAAAAATATAATCAGAAATAAAGAACATAACAAACATAATTGCATCAACATAAACACAAATGATAACTTTCAATGCTTCAATACGTTTAGTATCTGACTACGACTCTCAAATTTCAATGGGCAGTGTCGGCGCGAGAGTTAATTATTAGACAAGTGAATAGCGCACGGTAATTTCCCTAATGTGCGGTAATTCCCCTAATCAGTTCTCAAAGCGAGTGCCTACGCATATGTATTATTTGCGGGAACGCCGAAAAAACGTAAATAACTAACGATGACGTAATCATCATCTAGACCCCCCTACCCCCATGTCATCCAAAATAAGCAAAACAGAGACCCCCCACCCCCCCTTGGTGCTTACGTAATACTTGAACGGCCCCTAATAAGATGAGGTCTAAGACTTCTGGGACTTCTGGGAGCGGAGTAAATGATTGCTATTCTATTTTAAATAGCATCTATTGGTGGAATCTCTTCAGTTTCCTTCATCGAGCTGAAGGATGTGCCATTTTTGAGGCATATTGTCCTATAATAATAAAAATTATATTCTTGTTACAGTTTATTTGCTTTTACTGTCTGAGTGGCATGACTAGCAGTGCTAAAGAGCATAAATAGAGCCTTAGATAAGTAGTCCCCTCACGGAGAAAAGTAACTCCAAACCATACAAAAAACACCAGAGAGAAGGCCTTTCCAAATTACATCTGTCACGTTATGCCACTTGTTTCGCATTAATTGCAGTATTAAGTAATTAAAGCATGTTTTAGGAATTGCAATAAAAGTTTAGGTTGTTAGGTTTATTCCTCAAATAAGAATTCAAAAACTTGCTTAAAGGTTTCGGTGTAGTCGTTTTTTTAATATTTTATAACAAAAGTGGGTATTGGTTTTTTTTGTGAAACATAATATTTGAATGCATAGTAAATAACTATATGATTGAATTAAAATAATACTAATAAGATTCTAATTTGAANGAAACAGAGACCCCCCACCCCCCCTTGGTGCTTACGTAATACTTGAACGGCCCCTTATATCATTGATGCTTTGCATTTATTTTGTAGTTTTAGCGTATTGTATATTATTATAAATTTTAATGTAAAAAAAAACCTTCCTCGATAAATGCGCTATTCCACACAAAAATATTTTTTCAAATTGGACCAATAGTTTTTAGATTAGCATGTTCAACCAAACTACTCTTCAGCTTGTTAATATTAGTAAATCTAGATTTAGATACAGGTATATTAAACATGCCAGATGTGAAACTGTATTTAGCGGTTTGCAATAAAATATCTAAATTGTAACATCAATATAGTTGTGAGAGTGTTTGTTTATACTAATTGCTATCTATTTTTGCCCTACCATCGCATAATTGGTGTAGCGTGCGTGACACAGTTTTATGTTCATATTTAATGCATTTGATAATGCCTGTTAACAGTTGATGTGTCATTATGAGTTATTATACTGATAAGCTCCGCGCTGTTTAAATTTTGTTTCCTCTTTATCAAGGTCATGTTTAAACATGGCATTGTTTTTATTTATTGAGTAATTTTAGAGAAAGAGTATTTTAAATTGTAGCGAAGCGATCACGATCTCTAATGGTAATGACTGAGGGATGCATAGACTCCGTTAGATATTGAATAAATAATGTTACTTACCAGACCACCCTTTGTTTTTGGCGATGTGCTCGCTAAGTCTCACTGTCAAAGGCGTGAATTTGCTTGACAAGTAGCTCTTCTCTTTAGGGTCTAGTTCTGAATCGTCCATGGTCAAATGTAAAGCCTGAAAAATAAAAGCAATTTATACAGAATGTAAAAACATCAAATAGGCAGTACATGTGATTATTTAGTAAAATTGCTACAAATAGAAAGTTCGTTAAAATACATAAAAAGCAGATATAAGCATTTTACTAACCATACACCTCATATTCATGCTTGAACTAAATAATAAGAATAGTTTAGAAGTAACGACCGTGTACTTATTTTTGATGGCGTGAAGCCCGATAAAGTCTTATTGTGACGGACCAAAAATCGCGCGCGCAATAGTTAGAAGTAGTAGGCATATAACTAATATAGAACAAGACAGGTATTTGACCCCAATCACAACTGATGTCAAGTGAGATGTAATCTATAATAAGAGTAAGTACATCTGCCTAGTGATTGTACTACTTAGGCCCGAATCATGAATGATCGAATAACGATTGACCGAAATAATTTTATAAAAGTAAATTCGGGCAGCCGTTATTCGAGGGTTACGTATCTTCGGTGAAAAATTATTCGGGATAAAATTATTTCGGTCAATCGTTATTCGATCATTCACGATTCGGGCATAAGTTGTACAATCCAGCCTAGTAAATCTATAATGGGCATAATCCATTTATTACCTTCCTAAGAACAGTGTACTGCCTCGTCCCAGTCTGTACTTTGAGCAGTCCACACTTCTCTAAGTTGCATAGCGTGAGCCAGGTCTTGAGTCCGTACACCTGGACTAACTCTCGTTTGTAGTACTCCAACACTTTCGGCTTCAGGCCCGACCCAGTCGCGCATTGGAGGCAGATCAGGCGAAGAACCTGGTAATATGACTCAGAATTATCCCGGGTTAACTTACCTATGGAAAAGGTTTTTCGGTGACTACTATTGGCTCTAATCTGAATAAATAGTTATACCGACGACATCATAAAGGTAGCAGGAAGGCGCTAGAGGCAGGCTGTTACCAACCGGGCAACATTGAAAGCATTGGGGGAGGCCTATGTACAGCAGTGGACATCCTATGGCTGAGATGATGATGATGAGGTAAAATAGATCATTGTATTTTTGGTACCTTAGTCAATGGCTCTTTCTTGGCGATGAGGTCTTCAATAAATGGACACACTTTTTCATTGTCGATGCAATTTACGAAGTCCTCTTCGCATTGGATGGTGTCGTGGAAGTCGAAATCGTCGGTCGTCTGAAAAGAAAATAATTTTGACGTGAAACTATAATAAATAACTTTTGGTTTCATCCAGATTCAGGATCACTGTAAGTACTTTGTGGTACTTATACAGGGTGTCCCGTAATGTAACGTCAAGCCGGAACTGGGTGTTGAGGCAAGTTATGTTGGTTATCAGAAAAATATAAAAAAAAATCTATGTGGCATATTTTCAAAATAATGGGCATTTAAAAAAAATCAAAAATTTCTACTCCAGGTGACGGTCTTTTTACTCGTGTTGCCACAAATCTTCACTTTTTCCAATTTTTTGTTTTGTTATGTAACCCTGAATAATGCTTCTCTAAATAGTTATCAAAATTACAAAACCAGCTGCTCCAGCTTGGATGAAAAAAATACATTATTCCCAAAAAAATTTTCAAAATAAAAATTTTGCCTAGTTTAAACTGACTGTACTGAAAAAAAAAATGTACTACGCGAATGTGGCAAGTGACGTCATAATTTGGCGCATTTAGTAAGGATTCCAAAATGGTATAACACTTGGTAAATTCTTGCTGTAATTGTCGACAATTTTTGGTTTTTTGGAAATAATCCCGTTTTTAACTTTATCTACCTTGGTTAAAAATTATTATTCTAGTGCCCAAAATTCAAGTTTCAGGCTTAAATGAGTTGGAGAAGCCATTTTAAAAGGTATGAGCGGGACGGAGAGGGCCATCTTACCAAGCAGGGATGTTATGGATATCCGTAACCGTAACCGAAACTATCGGATATCCGAAATAAAAAAATATCCATAACCGTAACCGAAACTGATTCAAAAGTTACGGATAGTTTCGGATAAAGGCGGAGTCTAAGGGTACAATTATTCCCCTTTTGTACCCTTTGCACCACCGGCCTGCACCACTGGTGGTGCAAAGGGTATTTTTTAATCCCTTTTACACCACCAATAGTGCCGCCCTACCATTAACTGTAAAACGATTATCTATAATCATATAATATTAATATTATAAAGAGGAAAGATTTCATTGTTTGTTTGTACTGAATAGGCTCCGAAACTACTGGACAGATTTGACAACATAACATAAAAATTAATAACAACCATTCATACCTACATACATTGAATAATTCCTAAAGTACCAGGGCAACATAATCATAAAGGAGCTATATCAAATTCTTCTTGGTTGACCCGAGAAATAAACATGTATCATAAAATAGCTCCTTTTTGGTTATGTTGCCCTGGTACTTTATTCGTTGTATGTAGGATGTAGGCCCGGGGTATCGTGGGTCTGAAGTGAAATGTTTATAGGCACTTCTTACACACACACAAATTACACCTTTTAGGTAGGTGATGATTTATTTCGTTTCAGCCAAATGACGTCCACNATTTGCTGTCGAGGTATTTTAATCTGTGTCAACCTTTATAAAAGACGCACGGCCGCTCTTAAATCCATTTATTTTTCAATACACTGACATTTGATTTTGGTAACCAAAAGCGGGGAATTACTGTCACTGAAAAAGTGGTGACTGGAAAAATTTGTCAAAAGTGATATTGACCAAAGGCATAAGTTAAAATCACTTTTGACTGATTTTTGCAGTCAAAAGTGGTTTTGACCGATTATGAGTGTTGACTTTGAGGTATTAATCTTAAAATACTTTTCTGTTTAATCTTCCGAATCTGCGGAAGGAAAAAGTTAAGTATTACTCCGCTGCGCTTGTCTGAAACAGTCCCAAGAAACACTTCGGTCATTGTAGTAGGGAATTTAGTGCAAGAACCCCTCCACTTTGGTATAGAAGGTTCTTTTTTGCACCAGTTGTTCTTTGGGTGCTCCTGAGTAGATTTCCGTCGGTAGACATCGGGAGCCCTCCCTGTGGTAGCAGGGGGAGGGGGGGCAAGTTTCCTTCTGCCGCGCTTCACTTTAAGGCCCATATCTTCAAAACTATGGGTATTAGGGCAAGTGTGGTGTCATTTTCGGATAATTAAAGGATGGCGAATCCATTTCTAGAACAAACTTTTGGCCTTTTCATACAAAAAAATTGAAATATGGAGTAAAATTCACAAAAACCAAAAAGTATTTTTTAAATAAACGTCGTTTACTTTTAAACCACTGGAGATAATCTAATAAAAAAAATATGTCCTGAAAGCTACATTTATCAGAATTATAAATATATACCATTGTATGATACTTTTTTTGAGAAAAGTAGGTGAAAAAAAATTTTTCTTCAGGACACAGCGGGCGAATTTTAATGTGCGTCGGAAAAAAATATTGATTTTATCCATGAATTCATACTATTTGGTTCATAAGCAAGTAAAGATTATTATTTTAGAATTTATTTAGAGTTCCTGGCACATCATGCTACCATGTTTTGTATTTTTTCTTCAATTAATTTTGAACTCTATGTGTAAGACATAAGGTTGAAAATAGTTTAATTACATGGTATTAATGAAAAATTGAAAATATCAAAGAAGAAAGCACTAAATAAAGAACTTGAATTTGTCTAAACGTCTTATGATGATTATTATTATTTTAATTATCATTTTTATTTCTACATACTATTGTACCAGTGATAACGGAAAGGTAAGTGTGAGGAAAGTGAGGATTGATATTATCTATGATTATGATGAGATTATGATGAGATTATTTTTAACACAATTAGGCTACGGCTGTGACCATTATAGTTGTTTTTTCAGACAGCACCAGCTTCTGCACTACTTCTGGCACTTACGTCTCACCATTTCCAGGAAAGCTTCGGCAGCTACGGGCAAATCTATCCATGTAGGCTCCATGTTGCTATCGACTCTTGTCCACACCCAACCAGTCGGATAAAGGGAAGACTGAGTCGGTAGTTTGCAATACGCGAACCCCTTGATATACTGCCAGTAGCCAATGCTGATACAAAGCTGTCTGTAGTCCACAGCGACCCATTAGGATCTTTATTCTCCCTTTTTTATTCCCTATCATCCAAAAAAATCCTATCCATTAGTTAAGTGAATTAAGCGTCTGAGTGAAATCCACCTAATAGTCTTCTGATGCCGGATATGCTGACCCAAGCAGACCCATCCTTACAGTATTAAGAGTTTCATGGACTCCACATTGTATTCCACATGCTCAAGAGCTTCTAGTGTTATTTTTAGGCCCATTTATGGGACATGTGATTCGTTCCATAATGCCCAGTTTGCGTACCTGTAATTGCTTGGGCATACCTTTGAAAAGTTTTCTTTATGACCCTCTATTTCCCTTTAGGAATGATTTGGAGAGGCTTATATCGTTGGAGCTTTCCCATTCAGCCCTGTTATTCTTGGATATGGCCATATTATGGCCATGAGGTACCTAAGCTTTTAGATAAAGGTACTATTAATTCTGACCCTTGTCTCGCTAGACTGTCGGCTCTCTCATTGCATTCGATCCGTGTATTAGGGACACTTTGTCATGCCTTCAGAGTTTGTTCATCTTTAAGATTGCATCTGGAATACCTAATTCTAGACTTAACCTTCACTGAGGCGATGGCTTTGTTTGAGTGCTGCCTGGCTGTGGCTAAGGATGTAAATATTGCGTTTCTTACATCCCTGTTTTTAGTGCACACAATTATAGCGTAAAATTCAGCTTGAAATACTGTAGCAACCTCCTTAAACGTTCACTGTGTTTATTATACATGCTTGACTATGAACGAGTGCTGTAAGTGCCCACACCAACCTAGGCAGTTTTGTATCAGTATATCAAGGGCAGTAATTATGTCCTTATGATTTTTTCAAATTATTTAAAATTTAGTTGGTTCAAGGGGTTCGCGTATAGGGTCAGTTGCAAGCAACCGATTCAGTCTTCCCTTTACCCGACTGGTTGGGGGTGGACCAGAATCGATAGCAACTTGGAGCCTACATGGACCAATTGCCCGTAGCTGCCGAAGCTTGCCTGGAAAGAAGTAGTGCAGAAGAAGCTGGTGCTGTCTGAAAAAACAACTATAATGGTCACAGCCGTAGCCTTTGTGCTAAAAACAATCTCCCGTACTATGATAATATCAATCCTCTCTTTCCTCACACTTACCTTTCCGTTATCACTGGTACAATAGTATGTAGAAATAAAAATGTTAATTAAAACAATAATAATAATCATTAGACGTTTAGACAAATTCAAGTTCTTTATTTAGTGCTTTCTTCTTATGATATTTTCAATAATACAATATATTTAAACTATTTTCAACCTAATGTCTTACACGTAGAGTTCAAAATTAATTGAAGAAAATATTCAAATCATGGTAGCATGATGTGCCGGGAACTCTAAATAAATTCTAAAATAATAATCTTTACTTGCTTATGAACCAAATAGTCATATGAATTCATGAATAAAATCAATATTTTTTTCCGACGCGCATTAAAATTCTCCCGCTGTGTCCTGAAGAAAAATTGTTTTTCATCTACTTTTTTCAAAAAAAGTATCATACAATGTTATATATTTATAATCCTGATAAATGTAGCTTTCAGGACATATTTTTTTTATTAGATTATCTCCAGTGGTTTAAAAGTAAACGACGTTTATTTAAAAAAATACTTTTTGGTTTTTGTGAATTTTACTCCATATTTCAATTTTTTTGTATGAAAAGGCCAAAAGTTTGTTCTAGAAATGAATTCGCCATCTTTTAATTATCCGAAAATGACACCACACTTGCCCTAATACCCATAGTTTTGAAGATATGGGCCTTAAAGTGAAGCGCGGCAGAAGGAAACTTGCCCCCCCTCCCCCTAAAATAAAATTTCCAATATTACAGACCTTCTAGAGCAGATGCCGCGAAAACTATACAATTTATAGAAAAACTTGTCGATCTCACCTGTAGCAAATTGAATATGCTTTTTTTGGTTCAAAGTAGTCATGTCACTAGGACGCATAGTTTCCGAGGATTAAGCGAAAAACCGAAAAGTGGCACCTTTAAACCCCCCTCTCCCCGCCGGCTCAAGGGCTAAGGGCGGGGACTTTTGCTATGTTCACCTCCTAACTAGTCTAAATAAAGTCCTGAAGTCAGAAATTGTGTTC